TGACATATTATAGGTTTCTGAATAAATGTAGTCAAAGAACTTGAAATTGGTTATATGAATTGAATTTATATTCAATTAAAGATTTCTTGCTGTTGTGCAAAACACTATGCTGTTGTGCAAAACACTATGCTGTTGTGCAATACTTAGTAAATATGTTGTCAGACTATAAACAAATAAAATTGATAAAATTCTAAAGGGAGTTTACAAAAGTTTCATAAGAATTGCTGAAAGCATTTTTGAGTTATTGTCTGAAAACTGGAAAATCCCCCTTTTTTTAATAAATAAAACCCCATAACTCGGAAATGTAAAATCTAAAATTTATAAAAATTCTAAAGGGAGCTTACATCAATAGATATCAACAATTCATCAAAGTTTCATGAGAACTGCTGAAAGCGTTTTTGAGTTAATGTCCGACATGTTGACGACGGACAGACGGACGGATGGACGGACAGACGGACGGACGGACGGACAGACGGACAATGGTATACCATAATACGTCCTGTAAAAGGGCATATAAAAATAAACCCAACCCATTTAAATACATCATTAAAGTATCAAATAGAAAATGACATCATAGTCATGGCTAAAAATAGAAAACCTTGATCAGCAAAATTTAATTGTAATATCTAAAAATAAATTCCTTCACCAAACCAAACTCATTTAAGTACATCATAAAAGTATTAAATAGAAAATGACATCATAGTCATGGCTAAAAATAGAAAAACCTTGATCAGCAAAATTTAATAGTAATATCTAAAAATAATTCCTTCATCAGCATTTAATATAAGTTGTAAAAATAAATTGACAGCTAATCACCTCAAAAGAATACAACATTTCTTTATAACAAAACCATTGAGAACTTAGAATTGGTTATAGGATTTGAATTTATACTCAATCTTTTGCTTTTGTGCAATACACTATGCTGTTGCCAATTGCCCCCTCCCAAAAATAAAAAAAATTACCCCCCCTTTTTTTTAATTTTGTGCAATACACTATGCTGTTGCATATTGACTCACCTCCAAAATAAAAAAAAATAAAAAAATCCACCCCCCCCCCCCCCTCATTTTTTTTTTACAAAAAAAATAAAATATGAAGAAATTTTCTTTTTAATTTCTGAAATCTGAAATCTGAAATGAGAAAAAATTGTCCCCCTCCTACAATTTCTTTATACCCCCCCACCCTTTTTTTCACCTCTCCCACCCTTTTTCCAAACAACCCCCCTAAACAAAGAAAAAATTTAACCCATTTTTTAAAAGAAATTTTTTTTACCCCCCCCCCCCCCCCTTTTTTGCAATAAAAAAAAATATATGAAGAATTTTCTTTTTAATTTCTAAAATCTGAAATTAGAAAAAATTGCCCCCCTCCCACAATTTCTTTTTTACCCCTCCTCCCTTTTTTTCACCTCCCCCACCCTTTTTCCAAACAGAAAATTCTTTCCCTCAAGATATGGTCATAATCTCTATTCAAATTTCCATTGGAGTTTGCAACCATAATTACCCATTTAAATACATCATAAAAGTATTAAAATAGAAAATGACATACATACCCATGGCTAAAATCAATATTCCTTAATCATCATAAATTTAATAGTAACTTCTTAAAGTAAATTGACAGCTATCACCTCAAGACAATACAAAATTCCTTTATACATAATTCAAAACATTGTTTGTGTTTGGATTACCTCCCTTACACTGCTTTTAAATTGTCTTAATTGTACATTAACCAGGAAACCCTTGTTTTTCCCCCTTTTTTGCCCCTAATTCCTAAATGGTTTGAGCCATAACACCCCAAAGCCTGATCCTAACCATCCCTTTGTGGTATAGAAACTTGTGTATAATTTCAGAGAGATCCATACACTTAAACACAAGTTATTGTCTGGAAACTAAATAGATGCTTATTCGGACGACACTGACGATGACGACATGATACCAATATACGACCGCAAAATATTTTGCGGTCGTATAAAAAACAGTTGACTGTACTATAAAAAAAATAGTTTTCAAGTAATTTGATTTTAAAAATGCCATCAAATGTGCAGTGTAAAAAAAAAGTCAAAAGAATGAATACTGTCTTTCAGAGATTTTGTAAAGGATAAGAGTCTGTGTTATACTGTTGTTTTTTTTCAGGACTTTTTGGTATGTCTTGAAATATCCCAGGACTTCCCATGAAAATGTCTTGAAATATTCTAGGAGTTCTCAGGACAATTTTCGGATATTCCAGGTTAACAAGTCCAGAAAAGTTTTAAAATCCTGGGACTTCTCAGGACAATCCTGGGATATTTCAGGTTAACTAGTCATGAAAAGTCCTAAAACCCTGGGACTTCTCAGGACAAATCCCATTTGGTCAGATGCTTTTAAGATCAGTATTTCCTGGGATATCCCAGGAAATCCTGTTCCAATACTCTCCCATGAAATCCTGAAAAGTCTTGATATTTAATTTCAAGAAGTCCTGGGATATCCCAAGAAAATATCTCAGGAAGTCCCAGGAAGGTCTTTGGATAACCTAGGATATCCCAATAGATTCTTGCAAGGGTCTTCCAGTCTGTGTTTTTGTTAGAAATTCGCTGCTTTGTATCGATCAGATGAGTTAAGCCCTTTTCAACTGATTTTTATGGTTTGTTCTTATGTTGTACTGTTACCCGCTGTGCCATTTAAGGGGAGGGTTGGTGTTTAACCCCACCACATTCTATATGTGCCTGTCCCAAGTCAGGAGCATGTAGTTCAGTGGTTGTCGTTGTTCATGTCTATCTTATTTGTTTTTCGCAAATTGTTTTGTAATAAATTAGGCCGTTAGTTTTCTCAATTGAATTGTTTCATATTTTTCATGTCAGGGCCTTTAATAGCCGACCATACAGTATGGGTTTTTCTCATTGTTGAAGGCTGTATGGTTGCCTATAATTGCTTACATCCACCTTTTATAACTGTAGTGGATAGTTGTCTCATTGGCAATCATCCCACATCTTTTTATCTTTATATTGTTCACTTCCAAGGAAGTTCACTTTCTTAAGAATTTTTCACTGTGATATTGCACAGGATAAAATTTTTTCTTTATTTGAGACAAACATAAATTCTGCAATAGTTTTTTAAAAATGTCAATTTAACAAAGATTAATAATGGAAAACAATGGTCAGTGCTTATTCCTTATTTCAAGCGGCAATGGACATTTGAGCGAAATGGCAGGACATTTGAGCGATTAAAAAAAGAACGTTTGAGCGCCAAGAAAAGGACATTTGAGCACCGAAATTTTAGGACATTTGAGGGAAAATAAGAAATAAGCATAGGACATTTGAGCGAAAAAAAAATTAAGAATGATGAAGGAGAACCTCTTCGTTCGCCAGATATAATCTGTTACTCCTGCTCACCATGGGAAGGTGGAAGTAGTATTCCGAGCATGATATAGCTGATAAAATGAGGAGTTTATAATGCACAAAGTTTAAAACATCTTTTAATTGTAAAAAAACAAAGCACTGTCATAAAACTTAAAACTTGGCAATGGCATTATTTACAAGTCAGTTTGGGCTTGAAATTTAAATCCTATGTTTCTGACAAAAAAAAAATCCCTCGTTATTTCCTGCTGGCAGTACCGCAAATGCAAGTCCAGGAGATTCTGAGGTGCATCAATATTCAAACTCTGAATTTTGATGTAAGTCACAGATTGTAATTTGAATTATTATAGTAGAATTGATTGGAAAGTAGAGATTAACTCGAATTACTCGGGTGTAAAATCAAATCAAATATAATTATTTTAAAAACTTACTCTTTTTTAATTCATATAAAAGTATCACAGAAAATTTCGCTCATGCATCCTATTTGAAAATCCAGGTAAGGGTTAATATTCAGGCGCTAAAATGTCCTATGATGTCGGTGCTCAAATGACCCTATGTGTATTTTTTATATTCGCTCAAATGTCCTATGCCCATTTCAGGAGACAAATGATTTGAAGCCTCGGAGTCAAAGACTGTGATGTCTCTTAAGAGTGATTGGTTAATTAACAAAACCGGCTCCACAAAAGAGTTTCATTATTTACAGATCTTAAGTCGATTTTTATACAGGTTTTATCGATTGATTGATTGTTGTTTGATTAACTTCATAGGAAAAGTATTTCATGCATAGTCACACGACGAGAACAAATTTACAGATAGGTCATCTAGGATGAAGGACAGGAGTGTCTACTGTTACTGGAAAAGGAGGACATACTGTAGAAAGGGGCAGGAATTTGACCTTGCAATAGGTCACCTATGACCCTTGAAAAAATTGTTGCAACTTTTAAGTGTTCTTTAACTTAACACTCTCCCTACACCATGCATTAAATTCAACATCCCAATTCCGACCAGCATCTATCACTCACAGCCAAACGGACACAGATCTTAAGTATGGGTTTTACTGTCAAATACATGGAAGAAATCCAGGGATTGTCATATTTCATTACTTATTTATTTCCTATATTCATATGAAGTACACTTAATAGTTCTTCTAATCATAATACATATGCGTATTCCTCATTATTAATACAAAAATATAGAGGGTAGAGTAGTCAAATGCTTGTAGGTTGCATTTCTGTAAATATAGACAATGCAACTTCCCTTTGTCATGTTTGTGGCTAAAACTGTGCCATTTTAACTATGAAGTTTTGTAACAAATTATATCCTAGAATGGAAAGTTGATATGCACTACTATTTAATTCAAAGGTCAAAGCATAGGGCTGTGCGGCATACTTTCAACATTTATATGCCCCAAACTTGTTAGAGTTAAACTTGTACTAAAATTCTGTACTACCCCTACCTTCACTTTGTGCCTACTTCAGAATTCAATTTTCACCGCAACAATATGTTTTTATACTGGTAACATTCCCAAGTTATGTCTCTATGAGATGAAACATAGAGATCATATCTGGGAACCAGTACGTAAACAAAACGAAATATCTATGAATTTTATATATCTCCCCAAAAGAGGGTTTGTCTGTCAGATTTAAGTTTGCTAACAACTGCAAAGTGTACTTACCTTGCTGAGAAACCACAAGTAACTAATAAATTTCCTTGTAGATCAAAGTCTGACAGAGTTCCATTATGAGCATCAAGGACATGTTCTGCTCTTAAGGTGGCAGGATCATACAAACGTACCTAAAATCACAAGCAACATTTCTCAACAAGATCAATGGAACAGTAAAGTTATTGTCATTCTTCACCATGACAGTTGCTATACATCTTCAACCATTAGATGATGTCATCATACTTTGTAACAAGATCAAGATTGCATCAAATATGCATTATGACTTAAGCAGTACTCTTTGATAAAATTACAAATACATGAAAAACAATAAATCATTTGAAAGGGCTTTCAAAGTATTATCTAGTTTAAAACACAACATATAAATAATATTATATCTTCACAATATTTTGAAATATCAATCATATCATGTCTGAAACTAAAACAGGTTAATGTGTGAGTAAATTTTAATACATGTATGTTCACAGTTACAAATAAAGTCAATGTCTAATACATAGCTGAAAAAAAAGAATCTACATAATCTATAGACATGTCACAGAAAATGTGTACTGGATTAAGGCATGTATAATACACAGTTGTTTTACTGAAAAATTCAAATTGACAGGAAGGGGCATGAACTATACAGTACTACAATCAAGAATAAAATGCTCTGCTTGGCACAGCTTGATACGACTGCAGAGGTCCAACCCTGAACAGTTGGGGCAAGTATGGACACTACATTCAAGCTTGAAATATTGGACAGAGCATATGTTTCTGACACAGAATGAAAGTGGTCAAAGAGTTAAAAAAAAATTAAATTGTACTTTTACCTATTGCGGTCCAATATCCAAAATCTAAATACACAGTTAGATTCAGCATATCCAAGTTCACTAAGAATTTAATTTATTTATTTATTAATGGACAATATAAGCTAGGTTTTTAGGGGTTCGCTTCATTAAAAAAAAAAATATATATATATATATATATATAGCATTCTGAACATTAATTTATACAGAATAACAAACAAACCTACAACTAAGTTCTTGAAAAAATTTACAAAAAATATGAAAAAAATAATTTCCAAATTATTATTCATTATAAACCCCTACAGAAAAAAAAGTTGAGGGCCAGTTGAGGGCCATGTGGCGGACAGTTGAGGGCTAGCTGTTTTAAGCAAAATAGTTGAGGGCTAGGTGTTGAGCAATTTAGCTCAACTCAAACCTGGCCAAGCACTGTATGTTGGATAGATGTCGCTCAACTGGCCCTCAACTGAAGCTGACCATTAAGTTGAGGAAAAGTTGAGCAATTGATCTTTGGTTTTCATGTAGTTGAGCAAAGTTGAGCATTCAGACTTTGATTTTTTTGTAGTTCAGCAATAGTTGAGCATTCAGACTTTGATTTTTTTGTAGTTGAGGAAAAGTTGAGCATTCAGACTTTGATTTTTTTATAGTTGAGGAAAAGTTGAGCAATTGATATTTGGTTTTCATGTAGTTGAGCAAAAGTTGAGCAATTAGAAATATGAGCCAGTGATATAAATTTTATGTGCCATCTGTTTTCCATTTATCTCTGTGTAGTGCAAGAAGACAGGAAGTATCATTATAAATGTACACAGAGTTTGAGGCCAAATTAGGGAAGCACATGTTTTTATACATTTTTCTGTAATAACTATAACTCATAACATAAAGATAAAGATAAAAAACAAACAATATTTTTTTATTATAATATATATCAAATAAACAAGATTTAGGTAATTAACAGTTATTATTAGGGGCATATTTCAAAGGGATAACACTGTCACAATACCCTAAACAACCTCAAACAAATTTAAAATTTGAACTGGGCATGAGCATGCACATGGCAAGCAAAGATGTCTTCGTCTAGCTATCATGAACAGAATATGGATTTTACAATGGATGTAGATCAAAAAGTTACAAATAACTGTATTGATATTGATTAGTGCAGATGTAGTCTTCTGATGACATGACTCTTGGATTTAGGAAGATTGATGTTTACACATATTTATGGATAAAATCTTTTGGTAAGTACATTGGATTAGAATTTCCACCATTTTGAATAAGTGCATATATGCTCTTTTAGTTCAAAATAGTGATATTTAAAGTGTCTTCTTAACTTTTTAGAGTGAAGAAAAAAATTAGACAATATATTTATGCATTAATAAGTCAAATTCGTTTTGTTAAAATATACTTTTTCACTTTTTTGGTCTTTTAGAAAATGTTGTTTGTGCTGTATTTAGACCCCTCTAACAAGAAAATTGTTTTGCATGCACACATATAATCAAAGCACCAAAGGCGCTATAGGCAGTTAATTAAAAAAATCAAAGGTAAACTTGGCAGAAGTTAAAATGAATATAGAAGAAGAATGGATGAAAATATTTTTCTCTAATTCTTCGTTAATTTATCCCTTTCTGCACCCATTGTATACAAAAAATTTAATCAACGTGTGGTTCGTTTGATCTCAGTTCTTCATTGGTTAAAATCCGATTATGACGTTGAATTTACTTGCTTTCCTCTGAATTTCCTATTGTGACGGCATGAAAAAAGGCGACCATGCCTGATGACGTCACAAAGAAAGAACACATCTTTTTACAGATCATTCGAAAAGACAGAATAAGTTTGCCTGCATATTGTTTGAAAATCATTAGAGAAACAGATTCCACCACCAAATCTCAAGTAATACGATATTTATCCACTCTCGACAGTTAAATTTTAAATATTTAAAACGCTCGGCAAGCCTCACGTTTTAAATTTGAAAATTTAACTGTCTTGAGTGGATAAATATCGTATCACACTCGATGCAGTGGTAGAATCTATATATCTCAGCTATTTCTCAAGTATCAAAAAATGTTTGTACCGTAATGTTTCTGCTATCCAATCCAACCACTTTCAAAAGTTATTTCCAATTTATTTTTTAAAGATTTAATGTCTGAGATTATGCACATACACTGTCCCATGTTAGGGGAGAGTTTTGTGCCAGCTAACATGTTTAACCCGCCACATTCTGTATGTACCTGTCCATAGTGAGGACCCAGTAATTTGGTGATTGTTGATTGTTGCTGTATATCATATTTATTTTTTATAATTGTTTTGTACATAAATCAGGCTGCTTTAGTTTTATTGTTTTACATTTGTCATTTCGTGGTCGTTTATATCTTACTATGCAGTATAGGTTTTGCTAATTGTTGCAGGCTGCATGGAGGAATATTCTTTTCAGAATAATAATTTCAATTATGGTGTCCAACAGTGGTGTATGGTTTAATTCCACTATGTACTAGAGTTTGAATATGCCATATTAGCGCTTTTAGTTGGATCAGCTGGTGCCACTATGCACAATTATCAAATCATACCTGAAACTATCTGAAATGGTGTAATTTTCTTGTATACTAGTATTACAAGAAATGCTGATGTTGTTATAATGGCCTAGCAATGAGGCAACATATATTTTTGAAGGCTGTACGGTTGCCTGTAATTGCTTACATCCACTTCATTTGAATTTTGGTGGATAGTTGTCTCATTGGCAATCATACCACATCTCCTTATTTTTATAATAATTACACATGTCTAATCTATAATAAGCTATATACACAACGTAATATTTTGCCTTTTTGTTATTTTGATAATGCAAATGTTACACTTAAAATAGTAATACTTTAACATGTAAGTGATATTCAAAGTCAATGAACCATGACTGAAGGTACAAGGCTAAACAATCTCTATGGAAATGAAAGGTGCCAATGCTTGTTCAACTGCAAACCAAATACCATTGACTTTTCATAAGTCGTTCCCTTTAAACAAACCTTAACACAAATTCAATTTCTAAGTCAATGAACCATAATGAGGGGGTGGGGTTATATAATATCCATGGAAATGAAACTTTTGAATACCAATATGTTCGCATACCAAATAGCTTTGACTTAAGATTACTGGTAATTTTAAACTGACATAATCATAATAATCACAAACTCATTTATGTAAACTAAGTAAAAGTTTCAAAGTCAATAGATCATGCATATGACTGAGGGGTGAGGACCAAATATCCTCTATGGAAATGAGACGTACTAATGCTTCTACACCTACATGCCAATTATCATTGACCTACCACTATTGGTTTCCCTAATACTAACCTAATCGAAAACTAATAAATGAAATTTCAAAGTAACATAAGTTTCCAAGTAAAAAGAGCATGATTGAGGGGGCGGGGCCAAATAATCTCAATGGAAATTAGAAATGAAAAAGTTTATACAACTGCACACCAAATATCATTGACCTACCACTAGTGGTTCCCCCTAAACTGACCTAATCACAAACATATACATGTAAACTATGCAAAGTTTCAAAGTCAATAGACCATGACTAAGGGGGTGGGGCCAAATATTCTCTATGGTAATGAGATGTGCCTATGCTAACACAACTACTTACAAAATGTCATTGACCTACCAGAAACCAGACCTTATCACAAAATCACAAACTAATACATTGTTGATTCCGCCAAAACAGCATGCCTATATATATATATATATGTCTCACTTTTTGACTCTGTCAAGGCAAGACAAAAATTGCAACAATTTAATACAAATATTTTGTCCATCTTTTTTTAATATTCTTCATTTCTTAGATATATCAATGCTGCGTTCACACATAATTCGAATTCGATTCACATTATTAACTGATTTGAATTAGTTTAATACGCATTCGAAACGTTTAATGTCCAAAAGTAAATTCTACTTGGAATTGCAATACACGTCAAAATCGCTTTACTGTGAATGCAGGGGTTAAAATTAACATTTGGTACTGGACAGTCCAGGACCTTTGACACTCCAAACTGAAAGGTCCACAACCTAAATTCCAGGTCCTGCTTTTACTTGAAATAGTTCATAACTCAGTAAGATACTTTAATGTGCTTTTGGTGTTAAGTTAGCTTGTTTCATTGTCAGTGTCACTGTCGTTTAACATGTTTAATAATAAATGTAATTGTCTTGTATATTAATTTATGAATTCAAATAATCTTTTTTTTTGTATTAGGAAGGCTGAGGGAGGCTGAGGGTATCACTGTGGGTGGGTGTGTTGTCTCAACAATTGATTATTTATTACTAATTATACCATTATATTAAACAGTG